ATACAAGTTCTTTGAAATTTAAATCCTACAACAAAATACATTTATATATATCTCTCTCTCTTCCTTTTCCAACAACACTTCTCTTCGAACGACCGACTTTTTCTCCGGTGAAATCCTTCCGGCAGACTTCCTCCGGCGAAATCTCTTCGGCAGACTCCCTCTGGCAACCTGCAAAAATGTAGCAGTGCATTAAAAAGTGTATCGGTCAATTAGTCTACTGGTAATGATTTTTTCTAGTGGTACGGTACCAGTATAGCGCTACCATTACCATCTGGTAGTGGTAGCGTACCACTACCATCTGGTAGCTTGTAGTGGTATCAGATGATAGTGGTACGTTACTAGAAGAAAATGGTACCACTAGTCGAAAACAAAAACAAAAGATCTAGAAAAGGGGAGTCGGTGACGAGAGAGAGAGAGAGAGAGAGAGAGAGAGAGAGAGAGAGAGAGAGAGAGAGAGAGAGAGAGAGAGAGGGAGTCAGGGGAGAGGGTGACCTCGCGGCAGCAGCAATGGTGGGAGACGCAGGGAGACTAGAGGGCTCCGATGGGAAGAGGATGATTGTGCCGCGGTGGTGGGAGTTGGTGACCTCGCGATAGAGACCTCGCGGTAGGGAAAAGGGGGTGACTTTGCGGCAGGGGCGGAGAACATCGCAAGATGGCAATGGCAAGGGCGGAGGCAACGACGTGAAGAGGCAGGGGGTGGCAGCCGGTAGGGGCGGAGGCGCTGCAGCACTGCTGTGGATGCGACAGTGTGAATAGGTGTCGACGGGAGGAGGGCAGTAGGAGGAAGGCAGCGGCGGCGGGAGAAAGGCGGCGACGGTGGGAGGAAGAAGAAGAAGAAGAAGAAGAAGAAGAAGAAGAAGAAGAAGAAGAAGGGAGAACTGGTGCTGGTGGCGGCGACAGAGAGAGGGATAATGATATGAAAATTTTAATTTGGCTTTTTAGAGAGGGGAAGAATATTGAAATTAATATGGGCTGTAATCCCATGTGGTTATATTTTTTTGTCCTAAAATACCCTTGTACCAATCTCATCCATCAATTCAAAAAAGTATGAAAGAAAAGAGATCTAATGGTGGATAGAGTGTGTTGTGAAAATAACAACCCTAAAAAGGGTTGTCACCGTAGCTCACCCCAATGCCTTTTAATGCCTTTTAGTTAGAAAGCAAGCGAGAGTTTCAGGGGAGAGATTAATTTCCATATAAATGGGATGATGAGATAAATTTGGAAACTAATAAAATTGATTCCTTTTGGAAAATAAATATGATTCGATTCTGTGTATAATAATTACATGTGAAAAACAAAAATCAGTATAAGTTTACAAATTATTTTTTAGCCATACCCATAAGTTGGAGGAGAGAGGTTTCTCTTGTGTGAAAATAACTAGTTCATATTTTAGGATAATGTCACGACAGACGACACAAATGAAAATATAGTACATTATGATTTAATGGTCACCGGTTATCATAGTCCACTCATCAATCACTAGCATGGTCCATGAAACCGTACCGTACCGGTGGTTCAACCACGAAATACCAGTATCGGAGGTTAAACCGTTATGCGGTATTTAACGGTACAACGGTTAAACTACGATTAAAGCACGGTTTTACCATAAAATACCCTACCGCTGACTTTCCCGGTACGGTCTCCGGTACGATTTCATGGACCATGATCACTAGTCGCAAGATTTTGAGATTTGTGATTTGCTTTAAGACATTTGTTGTATGTTTTCTAGTGTTTATGGTTTGCTTTCTCGTTTTTGTGATATGCTTTATGATATTTGTAGTTTAGTTTATTCTATTTTTGGTGTTAATTGTATGCTTTATAAGAATTGTGATTTGGTTTCCAATATTACTTATCTCCTTTGTAGTATTTCTAGCGTGGTTTGATTTCACATGGTGGTTTGATTTAACTTGTTTATGATGTGCTTTACGAGATTTGTAGCATGTTTCATGAATTTAGTGGTATACTGGTATGCATTATAAGATTTCTGGTCAAGTCGTCTACAAAGAGTAAAAAGTATATTTTGCCACAAAGTGATCGAATGTTTTCTGGTCGTACCGCGCTTATGTCTGCATATACCAACTCTAGTGCCATTTTTGCTCTCCAAGTTGTAAAAAGTTAATTGACATCATTATCCTCCATAGTAAAAGATAAATTCATACTTTTGCCCTTACACATCTACAGTATTCTACAGTACCGTTACATTAGTTTGGCATAGTTTGTTAAACAAGAACGTCGCAATATATGCATGCATGCAGATCTCACCACGACAAACCCATTGGGTCCATATTTCGGTTGGACAATACGATTATTGCTTCTACCATATTATTCTTGCATTTTCCATGACTTTGCACCAATCAATGCCTTCACCATTATAGACTCGAATATATATATATAGTCCCAGTACTTCCAACTATCAACAGTATTCACTACTACACACCGGCATATCCATCGATCGATCTCAACAAGATGCCAGCGACGTTGGAGATAGGAGGAACCCGGCTGCCCATCCGCGTCGTAATGAACGCCGAGCAGAGGGTGAGTGAGCTGAAGCAGCTGATCTGTACCCTCTACCGCGTGCCGCTCCACAGGATGAGCTTCCGGCTGCACCACGGCGGCGGACAGCTCATGTCGGACGACCAGACGCTGGAGTCCTACGGCATCATGGCCGGCGGCCCGCAGCACGTGCACCTGCTGGTGATGCACGTGGAGCCCGCCGACGTTCCCATCACGGTGTACTTGAGGTCTTTGCACCCGCAGTTCGAACACTGGGAGGCCGTGGTCCAGTGCAAGGAGACGACCACGTTGGCCCAGTTCAAACGGCTTGTGGCGGACCAGCTGCGGTGGGCTGAGCCCGATGGGATGGCCATCTTCAGAGGAGGGTTCGGCGGGCGAATTGACGGCGAGGAGGGGAATATGGGCCGTCCGATTAGGGAGTTCTTGATTGTGGACTCGTGCGGTGTTTGGGTCGAGTTTCGCACCAACGTTCCGCAGAATGGTACCCGGCCTCACCAGATACAGCTACCACCACCGCCGCCAGAAGCCGCCATGTGACGACGGGATGATTATTATTATTGTTATATGGTTTATTTATGTTACTGATTCGAGTGGATGCAAGCTAGCTAATTAGCTTCTCTTTATTATCGGTATTAATTTTAGTATAATTGTTATCTTTGGAGTTGTTGTTGTTTAACCTGGTGTTCGCTTTTTGCCTTAGCGGTCGATTCAAGCTAGCTATGACCAGCGCTTACCATTTGCTATTTGCCGTTAACTTAAAAAAAAAAAAAAAATTGAATTCAAATTTTGAATTTTCTCTTCCTTCTCTTCTTTTCATTTTATAAATTCGGATATCATTAACATTTGACTCATTCCAACAAAAACACTTTTGTCGACGAGCCGAGTGCCTCCGTCGCCGGCACCGTTCCTCCGTCGCCGGCCAACCTCCCGTCGTCCTCAATCGTCGGAAAACAAGTAAGTTTATTTTTTCCGGCAAGTTCTCCAATTTTCCGGCGAAAAACATGGTGGGCCGAAAAAAAATTGTGGCCGGAACGCCGCCAAGCCGAAAGAAATTTTCGGCCGGTGTGACGCCCAGCCGAAAATTTCTTTCGGCCCGACGGCGCTGCGGCTGCAAATTTTTTCGGCCGGTCGCGCAAAAAATTTTCGGCCCGGCGGCGCACTGGCCACAAAATATTTTCGGCCCGGCGGCGCACGGGCCGCAATTTTTTTCGGCCCGGCGGCGCACCGGCCGCAAATTTTTTTCGGCCCGACGACGCACCGGCGGCAAATTTTTTACGGCCCGGCGACGCATCGGCCGCAAATTTTTTTCGACCTGGTGACGCACCGGCCACAAATTTTTTTCGGCCCGGCGGCGCACCGGCCGCAAAAAATTTTCATCACGGCGACGCACCGTCCGCAGTTATTTTTCGGCCCGCCCGGTTTTTTCATTTAATTTAATTTAGTATGTTAATTAATTAGTTAATAAAAAATTACTTAATTAGTTAATAGAAATTAGCAATTAGTGTTAATATTTATTTAAGTTGGTGTATAAATATTTTTTTTGTAATAGGTGTATGAATGTTTAATTACTTATATTAGTTAATAGAAAATTAATTAATTAAGAATTGATTTAATAATTAATGTTAATATTAAGTACATTAGTTAATAGAAAATTAATTAATTAAGAATTTATTTAACAATTAATGTTAATATTCAGTACATTAGTTAATAGAAATTAATTAACTTGTGATTAATTAACAATTAATGTTGATAGTACATTAGTTAATAGAAATTTAATTAATTAGTGCGCATCTAAGTATGATATTGTGTAAATTTGTAGATAATTAGATATGGATGATGCGAGTGGGAGTGAGTTGCATAGATTCAATGGTAGGATTGTTGATGCATCAACACGAAGGAAGGTGTCTAAGAAGAATAAGGAGAAGAAGCGCTCTCGAGATATTCGACATCACTCAGAGGAGAATTTAGGGGAGGATCAATTAGAGGCTCTTATTGTAGTTGCTCGTTCGGCATCACGGGCGTCTGGTTCCCATGGGAGGAACCAGGGTGCTGCATCGAGAGTGGTCTCGGCTGAGTTTGATGAGGATATCGAGATCCCTCCACCTACGCGTGGACATGGACGAGTGCCGTCTTGTACAGCAACATCACGTCCTGCTATGTATAGGGACCGAGCTGGGCAGTTCGTACCACCTGCTTGTGAGGAGACAGAGAGCTCGGGGACTGGACGGAGTAGGGGAGGACGTTCGAGTGGTCCTCCACCGTGGGAGCTTGTTGGTGAGTGTCCTGGTGGACCTACGGATCCTAGCCTCATTAGGAGCTTCCGTGGCCACGCTTCCTATGCGCTTTGGACGGGGCTTGGAGATCGAGGGGTCATCAGTTGCTACAGCCGTATATCGGCGGTTGATTATCTGGGTAGCTACGTGTTTAGTCATGTTGAGGCGGAGGATCTGGTTCAGCAGTCAGGTCTCCAGCACCTGATCTACTCTATGTTCCGCAAGATAGCGATTGACGAGGCTTTGATCTCAGCTTTTGTGGAGAGGTGGCAGCCAGACACGAACACCTTCCACTTGCCTTTTGGAGAGATGACGATCCTCCTCCACGATGTTCAGTACTTACTGCAGATTCCTGTTGAGGGACGACTGATGAGTAGGACTTCTGCGCAGCTTGACCATCCGGAGGTGGGTTTGTGTGTGCTTCTTGGGATGAACTCGGAGCAGTTGAGTGGTCGTTCGGAGGCCCCTGAATATGGTAATAGGGGTAAGTGGTACGAGAAGGGTGGTTTTCTTGCGGAGATGGCGTCCAGATACTTGCAGGTGAACGGGACACATGTGACAGAGGCGCAATCGTACTTGTTGTTGTTGTTGGGGTCCACTTTGTTTGTGGACAAGAGTAGAGACAGGGTTCGGCCGGTGGTGAACCTATTTTTGGACGAGTTGGAGGAGATAGATCAGTACAGTTGGGCATCAGGTACACTTGCTTGGTTGTACAGATACCTTGGTCAGGCGTCTCGTGCTGGTGCCAGGGGGGTGGCTGGTTGTCTCACACTTCTGCAATGTTGGATCTACGAGTACTTTCCAGGTTTCAGGCCATCTCACTTTGAGCCACCTGTCGTTGGACCTGATGAGGCTTGGGCTTCACGATGGATTGGGCAGCCGGCACCTGGTTCTGTGGCTGATCCCAGTGTGAGGTTGGTGTTCTACCGTCGAGCTCTTGACAGGTTGACCCCTTCTGATGTGTTTTGGACACCTTTCCATCAGAGGCCTCATCAGGCAGTGCGTCGCTCTTTGTACACTGGAGTGATCCGGTTCGCTGATATAGGCGAGTTCTATGATCCAGCCCGTTGCCTCCGACAGTTTGGATACCGACAGATGGTACCGCCTCCCCCTTCGCGTCCTCAGCGAGCAGACCGACCAGAGGCACCTAGTGGATATGTCATTCGGATTCCTGAGAGTTTTGATGCTACATGGGATGCTCTGCTATCCCACATGGTTCATATAGACATGTACTCTCAGCCCTGGACGACGTATCCATATGAGACTACGATCGACTATCTTGACTGGTTTGTGGCGCACTCTCATTGTAGAGTCCTACGAGATGATGGAGATGCAGATCGACTAGTTGACTCCGCAGTGGTAAGATTTGACCACTAGATCGTTACTCTTTTATAAATATACTTAGCGTGATACTAACAATTGTTCTTGTTTTTTTTTTTGTGCAGCGGGCTCGCGACCTTTTGTACACGTTTGCACCTGCGGTTCGAGCAGCAGCAGGGACCGAGGAGGAGTTTCTTGAGCATTCTCGACGAGCCTACAGGGCACTGCACGGAGTGCAGGATGTGTGGACTGAGTATTGGGTCTCCCAGGGACTCCACCCTCCAGGGGATTTTTAGTTGTTTTGATGTTTAGATCGGATGTTTATGTTTAGACTGCATGTTTGCATATTTATGTTTAAATCGGATGTTTGACTACTTATGTATGTTTGGATCAGATGTTTATGTTTAGACTGCATGTTTCCATGTTTATGTTTAGATCGGATGTTTGACTACTTATGTTTGGATCGGATGTTTGCACACTCATGATTAAAACATCGAGGGTAGATAATGAAATCCATAATGAAATCCATAAGTTCATGATGATAATGAAATTCATAATGAAATCCATAAGTTCATAATGACACTAGGGCCATTTAAAATACAACTAGAAAAACAACAACATATAAATAGAGCATTGCAACACTATGCATTGCTCCTATCCCTACCCCTTCCCCTAGCTCTTCGGGGGTCTCTCTGCCTGGCTCGCTGCCGACCACCAAGACTCGCAAATTTTTTTTGTCCAACCTCGAGAATAGCTCCCCACTCCGCCACATTAGGATTTGCTAGCCCATGCCAAATTGGATGCAGAGGGGGTATGGGAAACTGATCCTGGTTGAAGTACAATCGAATGTAGTGGTTGTCCACATAGTGCAGTGATAAGAACATGGTTGGTGGCAAAGTACCTGGGTCTACATCAATTGGCAATACAGTATAGGCATCATCGTAGCGGTTGGATAGTGGACGGTTTGCATTATTGACATCAAACACCTGGTATGTGAAGACCATGACTGCGATGTTGTAGATGGTGGCAAACACGAACAAGTCCTCAGAATCCATCCATCGCCCCAGTGGTGCGGAACCCGCCTCGAGCCAATTGATGCGGTCAATGTGAGCTAGTGGACCACCATTATACAAGTTCTTCTACTTCCAGAAATGTTGTTAGATTTCTTGGACAATCGTCAATCTCATGAGCAGATAGTGACTATCATCCCCATAAATACAATGAGAAAGTGCCCTACTTAGATTGCGGTTAAGTGACTTGTGCAGTTCATTCACCACTTCCAGAAACTGATGTTCCATGTACTTGTGGTTCTTCGCAAAACAAGTGTCAATCGCTCCTCTACCAGACACAAGGAAAGTCTTGAATGAAGAGTGAGATGACTCAACTCTATTCGAGCTCGTGTTACCAAGATGAAACACATGATTCATATAGCACTTTGCCCACATTGTCTGATGAGGCAACCACTCACCTCGCACGTAGTCGACCATTTTTATGTTCTTCTGTGTCCAGACCCTCTCAAACTCATTAATCTTTTGAAGAAAACCCTCCTGAGTCCAACTCCATGCAGCTTTGTCGAAATATTTCTTCCATGCCGCTTGTGCTACCTCTATTTTTGAAATTCCACCCATTAATTGCTCAAACTTTTGCTTCACACAGTTGTTGACGTGCCATAAACATAATAGGTGGACAAGTTGTGGGAGAGGGAAGACCACATGAATAGAAGCAAGTAGACCACCTTCTTTGTCTGTCACAATGACATTCGGAACCGTATCACCGAGCAACCCTTTAATACATCGCAGCAGCCACTCATATGTTTCCTTTGTTTCCTGCTTAATAATTGCACATGCAGTGTTGAAATTCTTTTTGACTGGAGTAACCCCAATAATCTCAACCCATGGCCAGCCATACCTGTTCGTCTTGTAGGTCGAGTCAATGAGGATGACGTACGACCATGCATGCAAACTGTATCGCACCCATTTCATCCATCTCATCCAATCTTGTCTTGTAATTTCCGTTGTACATCTGTTTGATATCATGATTCACACCCCCTTCAGTATTGAGTGTCGTCTCCTGCTGATTTGGTCTCACCTCCGCCTTCCTCATTAATCTTAACCTCTCTTTTTCAGCCTCACTAAACTGTTTGTTGTGTCGGTGATGTTCTGGATACAACACCTTTTCATGGTTGTGAAACCCTCTATTAGCTCCGGTTCACGACTTGTCACTCCCACTTTGACCCATGTGTTTGGACCATTCTCTTGCCAAGTTGCCATACTTCCTTAATACATATCTGAAACTGGCAGCCAGTACCCTTCGAACTAATATTCCCACGCGTCTCCTTCGTAGGGTCTGGTTTATAAGACTTAACGATCGTACTGCTTCTGTCGCAATACATACAGAGGGCAGTAAAAGGATGTAGTCCAGCAGTATTCGGTTTCCATGCTCCTCTAACAATAAAGAACCCACACTCCTGAGCGATTGCTTTTGCAGTTAACTCAGCTAACTTCACACTTGCATAATGAATCCCATTCTCAAATTCATGTGTGTAATCATGATCGGCCGGTAACCATTCTGACATTTTTCCTACAATTACAATATAACACATCAATATTCCTGTGAACCTAAATGCTAATTTCAAGTCTTAACCGCTAAATTCAACTCCTAAACTCTAAATCAACTCCTAAACGCTAATTTCAAGTCTTAACCGCTAAATTCAACTCCTAAACGCTAAATTCAACTCCTAAAATCGATTTTTTCCGAAAAATTCCAAACACAGACGGTGGGCCGAAAAATTCCGGCGGCCAGAACCTGGCCGGGCCGACGGAACCTGGCCGGGCCGAAACTTTCCGTCGGCCCGGCCAGGTTCCGGCCGCCGAAAATTTTCGGCCCACCGTCTGTTCTTTGCAAATCGTCGGAAAAATTGTTCGAAACTACAAAAAATTGTCTGCAGTTTACGTTGAGGATGGGCTTTCCCGATGGTTTTTCGGCGAGCGTCGATTTTTTCTGATTCAATACGTTTTCTGAAAGTTGAATATGTTGTAGATTGTGAAACTTCTTAACCAAAGATGTATATATATGTTTTTTTTTAGTTGGCGGCAAATAGCAATTTTTTTGACGGCAAATAACAAGCCCCTTCTTATATTATCAGTGTGTTAGTAAATGATATTTAATCCATAATGACATATCTTATACCAACTTGAATTATTGAGAATAATTATAGATTATGTGATAGATTTCATCATTTTAATTACGGTACATCTTCTTTCTTGAATTCGTTGGGAGTTAGAAATAAGAGGCATGTGTGTCTTCAATTTATGTTTCCTTTTGGGTCTTTGACTTAGAAATCTTTGTTTGGAAAGATTGTTTGTTCCCTACAGCAAAAATAAAAATAAAAAGGGCAAAAATATTTATATATAGTGTATGATATTGATAGAAACCCAGGTTTCGAGCTTCTATCGATTACTTAGAGATCGGAAGGATGGAGCGGTCATCGAGATGATGATCCACTTGATTTAGGGCTAAGTGAATAAGAAGGAGTAGTTTGAGAAATGAAAGAGGAAGGGAAGAACAGATGATTAATTAGGGTAAATTGATTTAGGTTTAATCTTGTTTAGTGGTTAATCTCGACTTACAAGAATATATATATAAATAAATGGATAGTTCTCTAACGCTACTTCAACTTATTAAATTTCCCAATTGACTCCAATAATCCGAATATTACATAAGAAACATAATCCGACAAAATCAATCAAAATAATCAAATAGTGGAAACGCAGGTTTCTATAAGATATTCAATGTGCAGGATATTGACCCACGAGAAATCGTCGATATTTTTTTGTTTTGTTTAGATATGAAAACGGAACTTATGGGGTCTCACTATCATTCTATTAGAACTTTCTGCATCTCACACCTACGAATACGATACGTAGAGAATAGCTCTATGTTACCGGTGAAAAAAAAAATAAGAATGTAATTAGCCCCCTCATCTCATCACTAAAACCTCACCCGATCGATGTTTCCATCATTCCGTTGAACGTACAATACAATTCCACACCAATATGCATGACTCCGCCATATAATAAATTGACATTCATAATCAATTTACTTAACTCAGAATCTCAATATATACAAAGCAAAGCGCCATCTCGCTCTCGAATCGATCGATCTTCCTCATTCAAGATGTCTGCCCGCCGGTTCGACATAATGGGAACCCAGCTGCCACTGGAATACGAGTTCCCTCTCGCCCTCACCGTCAGGAACGTGAAGGAGGCGCTCCATTCCGACTACGGGGTCCCCGCCGACCGCCTGACCCTCCGATTCTACCACGGCGGCGAGCTCATGCACGACGGCGACACGCTGGCTTCCTACGACCACGTCGTCGCCCACAAGGACGACGTCGTCCATCTGCTGCTCAGCGTGGGGCCCGCCGGCCCGACCGCGGACGCCCCCGTCCGGGTGTTCCTGCTGTCGGAGGAGTTTCCGGATTGGAGGGCGATGGTGGTGTGCGGGGAGAGCAGCACCATGGCCGACCTCAAGCGCCTGGCCGCCGACCAGCTGCGGTGGGCTGAGGCGGACGGGATGGAGCTCTACAACGCCAAAAAGTGGACGCGCCTGGACCGTGATGAGAACATGGGGCGGCTTCTGAGGGAGTTTTTGGTGGTGGACGGCAGCGTGGTTTGGGTGCAGTTCATCACCAAAGTTCCGCAGAATGGTACCCTAGCCGAGCCATAAAAACCAACACCATGCAGGAAGCTAGCTATATGCATGTGCTTGGATGCATCATTATCTATCTAGTCTTTATAGTTGTCGTCGTTTCTTTCTTGGGTACGGTAACCGTATAAGTTGGGAATAGCTAGCGGTATGTGTTAAGAGCGTTTGCCATGCATGGATTGGCAAGAGTTGATTGTTTTATTGCTTTCTGGGAAAAATAGTTACGTAATATTTTTGAAATGCTCTCTGGAACTCTGTGCCCGTCCCAACTCCGTCGCCCGTCGTCCTGCTCTCAGGCCGGCCACCGGACCCCGTGTCTTCCCCATCCCTCTCACAAACATCACCTGAAG